CTCATTTTACCATCATATTTGAGGGACAATTTTGCTGAGTATATTATTCTTGGTTGAAAATTTTTCTCTTTCAGGGTTTTATATATACCATCTTATTGCCTTCTCACTTGCATGGTTTCTTCTGAGAAATCAGAACTCATTCTTACTGGTTGTCCTTTGTAAGTAACTTTTGTTTTTCTCGTGCTGCTTTTAGGATTCTGTCTTTGTCTTTGGTTTTAATGAGTTTGATGATGATATGCCTTGGTGATTTTCTTTTGGGGTCTATCCTGTTTGGTATTCGTTGGACTTCTTGAACAGATATATTCTCATCTTGCATCATGTTAGGAAAGTTCTCTTCCAAGAAATCTTCGACAATTTTCTCAGTGGTTTTATTTTTCTCTTCCTGTTCTGGAATTACAATGACACATAGGTTATTCCTTTTGATCGTATACCACATGAACCTTAGGCTTTCTTCATTTTGTTTTGATCTTTTTTCTGATTGATCCCTTTTCATAGAAGTATTCAGGTATTTGTCTTCACTCTCATTAATTCTGTCTTCCACTGCATCTGTTCTACTCCTTTGCCCTTTAAATGTTCTATCTATTTCTGACAATTTAGTATTAATCTTCTGGATTTCTATCAGTAGATTTTGAATCATTTCTAATGTTTCATTTATTTTGTCATTTTGTTTTTGTATTTTCTTCCAAAATTCTTCTAGGGTTTTGTCTGTGTTTTCCTTGATCTGTTTCAAAATCGATTGAAGATACTTAAATATAATTCTTTTGAATTCCTTATCAGGGAGTTCCAATGCTGTTTCTTCCTCAGGAATGTGTTCTGGATCTGTATTCTACTCCCTTGTTTCTACCACTTTATCTTGCTTCTTTGTGTGTACTGTGATGGTCTGCTGTCTCCAAGACATTGTGACATTGTTGTATTTAGATCTCTTTTAACTGTTTGTGACGAGCAGCCAAGAGTGAGTCTGGCTCTTCTTGGTGGTTGTTTATCATAGGCCCATTGATGAAGAAGGAGGTGGTAACTCTCACTCAGTAAGTGAAGTTTTCTAGTAATCCATGCATCCAGGATGTCTTTGTGGTTCCTAGCAAGCAAAGTCTGTTCTTAAGTCCCTAGAACCTGGGAGAACGCTGTCACTTTAAATATCCAAAATGGTCAAGCCACTTGTAAACATTCAAAATATGGCTTCATCCTCTAGACAGGCAAAAGTCCACAGCTCAGCCTGCTTTCCTCTTCTCTGCTTTCCCTTTTATTTCCCAGCCACCAGAACAGTCCTCTGTACAGTTCCTAGCTAGCAGGGCTGATTTTTAGGTTAGTTCTTAGGTTCTACCACCACTTGGCCATATCCAAGCTGTCTGTGCCATCAGGATCACTGCCAGACCACAGCTCCATATGTCTCCTTTTTTGGTGTTTTCATGCAAATTCTTCTGCTCATTGGAGTTTAGTCCACTTCTATATACTTCCCTTCAAAGCTCAGGGGTCCAGGATTATCTTCTGTATCTGTGTTAATTGGTTACCCTTTTCTTTGTTGAAGAGCGTCTGTGCAGTCTTTCTGCCTATTCCACCATCTTACCGGAACTCATGTACGTTATTTTTCAAGCATGTCTAAATTATTCATTTTAATTAAAAAAAAAAAAAAAATCACTTATCTTTTCCTGTAAGTTTTTTTATTTTTTTAATTTTTAAATTTGTTTATTTAAAAATCTACTAGGTTGAATGCTGGTTATATAGGGTACGTATGCATATACAAAATCCTGAATAATAAAAAGCTGTATTTCTGGGAAAAATTAAAATAGATATTCATATGCCAAATTTATTTTTTTTAAATAGGATCTTTCATTCTCACCTAAGTCAGTATAATAAACACAAGCTCCAAAAAAAAAAGAGCCCAAACTAATAAATATGATATGGTAATTTTAGAGTTGGACTACTTCTATACATAAGAACAGTTATTCTGTTAATATGTTTCAGAATCAGGAAGTCCCTTATAAAAGCCAGTGGTAGTGTTAAATGGCAGCTTGGGGTCAAGGTAGAGGGAAAGTTTTTGAATTCCCATAATCTAATCTTTGAGCTGCCTTAAAGCCACCTCAAAGAAGTATAAATTTTTCATAAAAATACTTCTGAAAATCACTCTTCCATGTTCTATCAACCATGCTATCATCTCTAACCCTTCGAGATATATGGGCTGCAACTGAAAAAAAACAATGCCTTCTATTTCAAAACATCAGTATCACACTTGTTATTAGGTTTAACATGTACACACACAATACAAACAAAGGATACTAGTATTATAATGTGTGTATGTTTATGTTTCTGGTGAGGCTTGGAGGGGTACTATCAAAATCATATGCTATACTATTTCCATTGCTTACAGATAAGGTTTGGATTCAAGATAAAAGCTACCCACTATTTCCCAACTGTTTCCTGAAGACTGCCTAGGATTTATAGTATAATTATTATCCACATTTAGATATTTACTGCCCTAGAAATGTTTACTAATGTTTTTGAGAGCTTAAAAAAAAATGTATCTGAAAAAAACCCAAAGTAGTTTTAAACTCCTGAGGATTTAAGAAAGTAAAATACTGAGAAACTCTCTTTGGTTGATGTGATTAGCATAGGGACCTGAAAAAATAGGGAGGAAAAAATTCAATGCTGTCTATATTTAGCATCTTATGCTCTTAAACAACAATTGGTAGAAATTGGGGAATATATTCTGGCTCTTCTGTTTCAATTACTAGTGTGAAGAAAAATTCATAAATTGTCTTCTTTAAATAATTAAGAAATCATTACAAAGTTGAAAATAGTCAAAGATAATCATATATTATTCTAAAGAAAATGTATTTATAAAGTGTACTTTTCAATAGTACTTTTTCTACTGTTGCAATAATAAATCCGAGTATCTATTGTCAAAATACTAGAGCTCTGGTAGCATAGTGCCTAAGGCATTTGACTGCTAACCAGAAGGATGGCAGTTCTAACCCACCATCCACTCCTCAGAAGGAAGTTTGGGCAATCTACTTCTGTAGTGGTACCGCCTCAGAAACCCAAGGAGGGGTTGCTATGAGTCAGATGTGACTTGATGGCAGTAAGTTTGGTTTGGTTGAAGTTTAAAAGCTGTCATAGTAACAATTCTTTTGCAACATAATCAATAGCCTAAAAAATTATCAGATATAACTTGGCACTCTTCAAAAAATTTTTGTGTCTTCTTTTCAGTATCATTATAATACATGCTATTGTGATATACTTTTCTTCTGGCCTGTTAAGTATTTTTCATTAGGTGAAATGATTTCTTGAAACTGTTGCTATTTTCATGCATCTATCTCATTTTATAAAACACTATTTTATACTTAAAGCCTAAAGACAATCTGCAAATATTACTCAGATTTACTTGAAATCAAGTCAGAAAAAACAACACTTTTTCTTCATCATGTAATTTTAGCTATCTTTATATAAGAACATACAGTATATATGAGATGCACTTTGCTCTGAAACTTATTTAATAAGTGCCTTTTTCACCCTCAGAATTTTACAATAAAAAAATATCAACCATATAAATGACACAGAAACACAGCTACATGAGAAACATAACAAAAAAATCACAGAAAGCATAATGACAACATAAATATATCTTACTCTTTGTAGTCCTTGGTACCAATCATCTTGATCATACCAATGTGAAATGTAAGTTATCCAAGCCATAGAATGTTTCTATTTTAATCAAGGCAATTGGAAATTCAGCATCAGAATAGTCAGCACCTAAAGTAACAACAACGTGGTTCAACTAAACAAGCTTTTGTGATGTTTAGTATAATAAGCTGGATCTACACAAACATCTTAACTAAAACAATTTGGTAATTTTCAAAAAACTAAAACCTATTGACACTGAGCTCTGGTGGTATAGTGCCTAAGACATTTGACTGCTAACCAGAAGCCTGGTGGTTCAAACCCACCAGCCACTCCTAGGGAGGAAGACTGGGCATTCTACTTCTGTAGAGATACAGCCTCAGAAACCCAAGAGGGGGTGGCTATGAGTCAAATCAACTCAACAGCAGAGAGTTTTGTTTTTTTTTTTAATGACACTGAGTCAATTCTGACTCAATAGTACCCCCTACAGGACAGAGTAGAACTGTTCCACAGGGTTTCGGAAGGAAGATGGGGCAATCTACCTCCGTAGTGATCCTGCCTCGGAAACCCAATGAGGGGTCGCTATGAGTCGGGTGCGACTCGATGGCACATAACAACCACCACCAACCACTCCTTGGAAGGAAGTTTGGGCAATCTATTTCCTAGTGATATCACCTTGGAAACCCAAGGAGGGGTCATTATGAGTTGGATGCGACTCGACAGCAGTGTGTTAAGTCTTTATGAAAGCAGACTGCCACATTTTTCCTCTTGTGTAGTGGCTGGTTTGGTTAGTAGCTAAGTACTTTAACCATGGTGCCACCAAGGCTTCGTTTTCAAATAATAGTGTCTGTTAAAAGAAAAAAAAAAGCTAAATTAGAAAATGTAAGTTTATATTCAAATAAGAATAAAAAATCAAATGATGATGTTGCTTTACAGAATCTGAAAATGCTGTATCAAATATTTCATCAAACTTACAACTGACATTCTATAAAACAGCTTAGATTCAAGTTTTGTAAGAAATAGGCAAATGATTTTTTAAAGTTACCAAGTTAAAAATAACAGATCTTAAAAAAAAAATCAGGAAGCAGAAATGAGTTCCATTTTCAACCTCAGGAGTTGGACATAAAACTAGAAAAGTTCTAGCTGAAAAGATGCACAGTGACAAGGTCAATCATAGACTTATATTTGTCACAAGTAAATATTTGAGAGTTAAATAATTTTTATAATTAGCTGATTCCTTACTACCTAATTGTCTCAAATGTTTAAAGACATTGCATCACTTAATTCAGATCTGATATGTTGCATAGAGATTCAAAACCACACAAATTAGGTTACATTTTATTTGTATTCACTTCTTGAATTTTTTTTTTTTTTACTAGGTATAGTACATAAGAGATTTCTTGGTACATTGGAGAATATGTGAACTTCAAAATAGTCTCCATAATGCTTATTTGTTTCACCACTCAAGGTGAAACAAATTCCAAGTGATCCTTCCCTGACAAAACTCATCAAACCTTTACACTTCAAAGGAGAAAAAGAGAGAGAACAATTTGAGTAAATTAATAGTTTCATGCTTCATATACAAATAGTAAGATAGCTTCTATTCTGGCACAGAAAGATACACTTGCAATACTTTCTCTCTCTCTCTCTGTATATATATATATATATATATATATATATATATATATATATATATATATATGGCAGGTTGGGAAGTTTTATTTCTATTATGATTCCTTATTCTTTAGAAGTATTTCGAAAAATCTTTGCTTGAAGCCTCAGTTCAAATGTGTGGGAATACAGCTTGCACAGGAAGCTGCAGGAGTGGCATAATTCATTGCTTAATTTGTTTACATCTTGATATCTTCTCTGAATCTGGACCCTGGTTACTCTGTCCTATCACTTTAGTTCCCACCAAACCCTTCCGGATTCGTCTTCTTCATTGTTGTCAATCTTGTCTATTTTGGGTCAAGCTTATCCTATTTTGAATTGTAACTCTTTGCTATGTCCTGCCTTAAGCTTCTTTACCCCAACTTGAACCTCTATCTAGCACTCAACCAATAAATTTAATTACCTTGTCACTGCTTCAGTAGTCCCAGTTTCTCTCTTAATATACTTACTTCTAACCATACCAAGCTCCTAAACTCCATTTCAAACTACCTCCTGATCCTAGATCACTCAGCCTTTCAACAGGTAATCTCAATAGGAGCATGTGCAAAGTTTATTGTCTCTCTCCCTCAAGCGATGTTTCTCTTTTTACCATCCCAAAACATTCTTTACTTTTTTGGACATTCCCCATTGCAGTGAATACCATTTTACTTTAGATAGTAACCCAAGGTGAAAACATCAAGTCATCTTTGACACTTCTGTCAATTTCCCTTCCCCCTGCTACTAATTTGATCACCATGTCTTGTCTCTGCAAAAGACCCTTTTTCTCTATGCCTAACGCTAACTTTTAGTGAAACCCTTTATCATGCCTTGTACAAACTAATGAAACAGCTTATTTACTAGTCCTCTTGCTTTTATTGCAATTCGCAAATATGTCACATACTTTCAGAACTTCATGCCTTAAAGATTTTAAATGCCTTTGCCTGGGGTGTCCGCTTTCATTTTTTTCTGTGGATAATATACTCCTACATATTTTACAAGTCCTAGTTTAAATATTCTATTTCTTTGAAGTCTTTCCAATTTCTCCAAATCTCTTATCTGTATAATTCTTGTTATTTGTGTAGATATAAATTGTGAGCTCCCCATGACGAAGGACCATACTTTATTCATCTTTGTATAGAAGATACAAAATGTTTGTTGAGTGAATTAACATCTGCAGTGCTGGGAAAGTCTGTCATCTACTAGCAGTTCACCTAAACTGAAGGCACATATTATTGAGACTTAGAAAGGATCTAAAGAAATGTCTCCAAGTGATAGGTCATGTGCTCATCAACAAGTGAAATGTGATTATCATTTAAGGGTAAAAGTAATTGCCATTAAACCAAATAATTTAAGAAATTGTTTTTTAAAGGTTAAAATAAAACATAAACTTGGATTATGCAAAAAGTGTGTGGGGCAGGGAATCTTCCGACCTCCTCTCACTTCACAAAGGAGAGACAGAACCATCATGAGCAGTAGCAGCCCAAGGCCGACTGCTATGAAGTGGAGGTCAGCCATGCTGCCACCCTCCAACTTTTTTTTTTTTTTTTAATACTACTTCTGACACCAGTCATCCCTCTCATGGCATTCTCTACTTCTCTGCTGGTTTCAGTAATTCGTTGCAATGGCCACACAGAATAGACAATACTCATGATCATGGAGTTTATTAGGGAAGCAACAGGTTACAATTCAAGTTCAGGAATGTCTCATGATACAATTCTTTGATGCGGACAGCTTCTTCTCAGCCATGCCACAGGCAGCCTTCTCTCTGGCCTCAGCCTCTCGGCCTGGTCTCTGCCCTGCTCAGCCAGTGTAACAAAGCCCCTTTAGCTGTGCCTCTGCTGCCATCCTCTCTCTGCCATCTCAGCAAAGCTGAGCTCTCTCTCTCTTGTTTTGTCCCCTGGGTCAGTGAGGTCCAGTGCAGGGATCTCAAGTCTAAGGATATGCTCCACTCCCATTAACTCTCTCTTGATGGCAGTGAGATTCCCCTTTTCTGCCTCTGGGATGGGTCATTTAAGCCTAGCAGGATAGCAAGATTTACCAATCCCCACATTAGGGTTCCATACACCTTATTTCTATGGTCCCATCCCACAAGGGTGCCACATACTCTATTTACATTATCAACAAGATACCCAATCCCCTTGGTGGGCCAAAACCACCATACATGTATATAGTTCCACTTAGTCATCTGCTAACCAGAAGGCTGGCGGTTCACACCCACCAGCCACTTCTCGGAAGGAAGATGGGGCAATCTACTTCCGTAGTGATACTGTCTCAGAAACCCAAGGAGGGGTTGCTATGAGTCGGGTCCAACTCAACGGCAAACAACAACAACAATAACAACAGTTATTTGTTGAGAGTCATAAAAACCATGGCTATAAGAGTCACATTAAGTAATGTGCTACACCATAGACTGGTAAAATGATTATTCTTATAATTATGTTAGGCACCAAGTATGTATTTATATACCATTACATATCTAACATAATTAAACTTTATATATTGTTTATATTGCATAGATCTGATTTCTTATTTCCTAATACTCTTCTATGAGCAATATATATTAGCAAGATTTAAGAAAATCAGAATGTTCCATGTCATATAATTTCAGATGAAATATTACCTTGCACAAACTACATATTTCTTGATTGCACTCCAAGTATTTGATTATCTGAGAGTGTGGTAGTTAAGTTGTGTGTCAACTTGGCTGGGCCTGGTTTTGAGTGGCTGTGCAGCTGGATATAGTTATTCCCCATGATGAGACTGGTAATCAACTCCATGGTGGAATCTACTAGAGTAATTCAGTAGCTACTTTAGGCATGTGGTCTGCTTACAGTAAACAAGAAGAAGCTTTGGGAATGGTCTGGAGCTTTTTGGGACTCTTGGACATTGCATGTAGCCGAGTCTTCCTTCAGCATCCTGCGATGTTGTCTGCCAGTCTTAGAACTGACTGTTCCTGGACTTGAAGCAGTGGCCTTCCATGATGTGTGATAATCTTAGGACTTGCCATTTCACTTGTTAACCTTGGGCTTGTTAGCCTCAGCACCCAGCTGAGTGAAGAGATGCCTCCAGCTCCAGTGGGCTAGAATTAAGAGGCAGAGCTGAAGCCCAAGTTTGAGGGGCTTTCATTCAGCTCCTACAGCTGACACTCTGAACTCAGACTTCCAGTCTCCTAAACTGTAAGAGAACAAACTCCTGTTGTTAAAGCCACCCATTTATGGTATTTTCTGTTACAACGGCACAAAGTATCCAATACAGAGAGTCAACGGGATCTGTTTCACTTAGTGTAAGAATATGAAATAAGTTCCAAGTGAAATAAGTTTCCTTGATTGATTATGACTATCTGCGATGTAGATTTTAAACCCTTAGCTGAACTCATTTAATGATCACTTAGCAGTAACTGAGATGGGAAACAGAGAGTCATGGTG